TATATAATAAATACATTATATATTTTGAAGCATTTTGGCATAAAAAAGCAAGACAATTTTACTACTCTTGGTTATTTTGACTCACCCCGAAAGCGGTTGTTAACACCCAACTGGACTTTACATATTTTACTCTAGGAAACACCAGATGACTTTTACTCATCAACAGGAAAACTCATTGCTGGGTTTACGTTACAGAGTTTTACATACTCCAACAGGGCTTTACAGATTTTACTCTGGTTATGCCAGACAATTTTAGGGCTCATAAAAAGTTACTCAAACATTGATTAATATTATATTATATAACCCAATAAACTTAGCATATTCCCTATGTATTAATATACAGCATGAGCGGCCATGTTGTATCGATATACAAATCGAACCAAAGGCGAGAGGTTGTGTGCCCTCTAGCATCCCGGACTGTTTATTTACGAATATTCCTGATATCTGGAATATTTTATCCTGGGAATGTTTTGATTACTTATTATTAAATGGTGTAATTAAGTACGTATACACATGTATGTACATACCAGTGTATAGAAACTGTAGACTGTACAGTAGGTCAGCAATTCCCCTTAAGCTGTGTAATTGTGTATAAAATGTATAGTAGTAATAATTTCTGCAATTTTTTAGGTACTACAGTCAAAAGAAGTGGTGGAGAAAAAGAGAAGCAAAAAGAAAATGGATGTGGTAGTGAGGACGAAGTTGGTAGTGAGGACGAAGATGGTAGTGGGATTAAAGATGGCAGTGAGTATACGCCTAGCATTATCGCACCCACCACATCGACAAAAAGTTCCCAGCAGCTTTTAAGCAATGAGGACAGCGTCCTATTCCTAACTGTGTTTGATGAACTAATTAACTCAACCAGGCAAATCACCAAGGCAGTTGTATATGATAAATTACGTGCTGAACCAAAATTATCCCATCTTGAAAAGCAGTGCGCTTTCCGTCAACTAGCAGACAAAGTCCGCACAGAGAGAAGAAGAAGAGGAAGAATTATAGCAAGAGGAAATGATAAAAGAAAGAGAGCTAGAAAATAGCTTTAAACAGTTTATTATACTGCAACTTGTATGTACAGTATGATTTTCTTACACTGTAATACATGATTTACAATACAGCTTATAGTTTGTTTTTGCAAGATACACGGTTATACAGCTGATAGCTTGATTTTACAACATAATACAGCTTAAAGCTTCATTTCACAAGAGACTAGATGGATGTAGCTTGATTTTGAAAGACAGTACAACAGATAGCTTGATGTTTCAAAATAACACAGCAGATGGGTAGATTAATAGAGCCAGATACAGTGCTTGATTTGTAACAGCTGTCCACTTTGTTATCTAATCAAGCTATCTGCTGCATTATGTTGTAAAATCAACCGCTGTATTATTGTAACATCAAGTATGTAAATTTGTAAGTGTTAAAATTATCTTGTTTTATTGCACATTTTGTTAATGCTCAGCCTGGGTCAGGAACGTACATGTTCTTACAATGTAACATTATTTTTGACCTGGCACTTCTGGGATTATAAACACTGAAACATACCATTAATATATTGTATGTACATTGGTGCAATGTATTTTGCACTGGGCAGGCAACATAATATCAAAGATAAATGTAAAAGGTGCTGCCAGTAATTTAAATACTATTATAAAATTAATATACTTACTAGTATGTACAAATGCAGGTTATAACTAGAAGTTATCAACTAAAATTTCCATGTACAATACTGTACATGAAACAAGGAGATTTTTAGGTGATAACTTCTTGTTATACACCTGCATTTGTACATCAGATACTGTACGAATAGTATTGGACACTTTTAATATCTGCATGTTTAGTAGACTTTACTTAAGCTTCAATATCAAAGTAGTTTAATAATAGTATTGGACACTTTTAAATACTTTTTTCTCAATATCAAAGTAGTTTACAGTTGTTTTGTTAAATTTTATTACAAGACCTTAATATAATATATGTGGATGCCTTTTTCATTCTGTGTATTTGTTTATAATATTTTTCTAAAAATGTGAATGTATGTATGAAGTTTAGCTCCTGCCCTCTGTATACCAATGTAAGGTTATGTGGTTGTACTCAAGTTTGATTTTACTGCACCGATACGTGTATACAGAGGTCAGGAGCTAAACTCCTCATTTTGTTCATGTATTCATGTAATATAATCAGGCATATATTATAGAGGGTATTACATGACAGCATGAAGATATGAATTTTATATCAAGAGATATGAGTGAGACAAATGAGTAAAATATTGTTGTCACCACGAGAAGATAAAATTCATATCTTTAAGCCACCGTGTGCATGTAATGTTCTTTGTATTATATGGAAATAACATGATAAACCTTCAAATTGTGGATGGTCATATGATTGATATCTTCACTCGTGAAGATATGGAAATATCTTACTGTCTACCATATAACAAATGATAACACACGTTATAACATAATTACATAACATACATACATGATTATTTAATTTACTTATTTTAAAGTAAAAAGTATACTGCCGTACATACGATCGCGTACATGATCGATTCTCCTGAGTTTGAGAAATGTAGGTAATTTCAGTTAGAAATGCTCCGAAACTTTACTTTGTTCACAACGTTGACACATTTTATCGTAAAAACAATAAAACTTCTATTATTTCGTTGATAACCCTTGCTAAAATGAAGATTTATCCCAGGTTGCTCCTTTTTGTAACCTAGGTGCTCCTTTTTGTAACCTAGGTGCTCCTTTTTGTAACTCCAAATGTTACAAAAAGGAGCACCTTGCTCCTTTTTGTAACATTTCTTGCTCCTTTTTGTAACATTTGTGGGTTACACAAAGGAGCAATTCAGGTTACAAAAAGGAGCAAATGTTACAAAAAGGAGCGAGGTGCTCCTTTTTGTAACATTTGGGGTTACAAAAAGGAGCATACTAGGTTACAAAAAGGATCATTGATATGACTACCTACCTCCCTACCTACCTACCTACCTACCTACCTACCTACCCACCTACCTACCTACCTACATACATACATACATACATACATACATACATACATATGTCTGACCAGAATTAAAAATGATTGGACAAATATTTGCGACCCAACTATCAAATTTTATTAACGCCAACTATTAATGTAACCCATTAAGGTGCAACATTTACTTTAGAAGAGATCTAATTTGGGTATCAACCCCTATTACCCACAGAATAGGGCTTGACACAATTTGCCTCTAGACCATGGGTCACCTGACCATCTTGTGGCTGGGAAATCTGATTGGTTGATTAGGCATGAGATATTTCTATTGGTTGCTTAAAAATAACAAAGCTAAGATGACAACTGCCAAAGTCATCTTTAAGGTTTTATCAAATTTAGTGTCAATCATATTTATCTCTGTCAATGCATAAACATTAACATGTGGATGGCCCATGGATTAGGCACAAATTGTGTCAAGCCTTATTCCAGTAATAGAGATTGATACTCAGCAGATTGGGGGAGTTCCTTCCTTAAAAATTCAGGCTGCAAGAAGGCTAACTTGACCAATAAAATGCAAGAGTCTTAAAGCTATAAATGCATTGGGTTGCATTGCACCTTGAAAGGTTACTTTTGTAAATAGACTCCAGATGAAAGCAATCAGTATCATATGTAAAATACAGATTAGGTGTGTTGCAATTAAATTTAACATAAATTATCAGTGTGCTGCTAAAAGGTTAATGCAACCAGAGTACAAGGTTCTCTACCTAGCCTTTCTATGTAGGATCATATATTGTTTATGATCATTGATCCAACTAAAGTATTTTTGCAAGTTAAAGCCAGATAATAAAGTTGGCTCAACTTTCGAGAAGCAACCATAACTTCTACCAGGTGTTATGGTCAACGCATTCTGTGATAAAAGTTCACTGATTATATTTTCCATGTCAGCCTTTTCCGACTTGCGAACATGCTTCCCTGAACTTTTATACAACAACATTGATTCATCAAAATTGTCTGTGAGTTGCTTTGTTATCCCCAATGCATGGCAGATTCGGGCAATAGACTTTTTGCTGGCATTGGGACCTACAATCCTGGACAAAACCATCTATTAAAAACATTGCTTTGTGGCTTTTTTTACCAGTTAGACCGGAATAATTTACTCGTTTGCTCCCCTCCACCTCCCAAAACAATGTTGGACGTTTTATCCGTATTCTACGAATGCAATCAACATTGAATGGTGGGAGGAAAGGAGAGGTTTTCTAAATTTACGATAATATTACGACATTTTGTTAAGTAATTGGAAGTGTCGCAAATGTTTTGTCCAGGATTGTCTGTATCTTTCAAATTCAATAACCAAGGCATTGCGCATTAAAAATTGAGTTCTATGCAGGACTTTCTCTTTCCGTAGTAAATACGACTCACTAGAATGTATTAGGCTTCAAGAAGCAAATACCATATGGTCGACAAGTAATATAACACCCTCATGCAATGCTATGCTTCGATAGCTTGTATAGAATGCGATTAAGAATTGTATGCAACGACTTTCCCGCATTTAATATACGTCGGAGAGCACGTCAATGTACTTAATAGTGTATATACCAACTATTTTGCACTAAGAATATTCTAAAATATGTTAATTCATATTTATTTGTGTTGTTAGACAGATAAACGCTTAGCTGTTGACTGGAAATATATTGCGTGACCGCCGCGCTAAATGACTAATCCGATTTTGTTATTGTCGTATAATTAATAGCGCATGCGCATTGACGGTGTACCACGGTACAGTGTGAACATATAAGAAAAAATATATATATATATATAAGCTTTTGTAGGGTTAAAATGGTACACCGTGGAATATTTTAAAATTATCGTGCTAAATATTGCCTGAAGTAGGTTGGAATACTAAGCAACACACGTTCTTTCAAGCCCATTTCATTGGTTTGTATTACACCTACAACTGGGGATATTATCACAGTCTTAGTGCATTGGTGGTGGTACACCATTATGTATGACACTGAGAAAAATTACGCATTGATTTACCACACCTGGAAAACGTGTGTCAAAATGCGTAATTTATATAGTTGTCGCTTAATATTTTAAATATATGCACTAAATACCAGAAACTATACAGTATGTTGAATTTATTGTCCCTTAGTTCTATTGGATATCACAGACATTTATGTATAGACTGAATGTATAACCTATCAATATATAAGTCGCACAAACCCTTATGGAAATATATTTTTTGGGTCGTACATTGTATTTCATGCACTGATCGCTTGCCATGTCTGTCTAGGCACCTTCGCACATATGGTCGATTAGGCCGGTCTATTGTGTCTTGCAGGTCTTATATAAATATACAGATAACAAATATGACTCATATATATTTCTTAATTGCTGAATTATTGCAATGATGTCTACTAGAACGCGATAGTTTTACTTTCTCAATTATTCCCGAAACATTTCGTTGCTTTTAATTGCTAAAAAAGAATATATCACATGCGATTTTCTCGGCAAAAGTTTCTACCACACATTATTACCCTTTCAAAACACTAAGATATTCATGACGTATTTAATTAATGAAATACGGTACTTGATGTAATCCCCGAGCCGACGGTGTGAAGCGCCGTGCGAGGGTACTAATTCCCCCTGGCTATTTACACCTGGGGAAGGGAAGCATTAGCAAAGTCTAAAGTTTATCAAATATCGCGGGCGTGGGTCACTGTGCGTGTTTCGGTGGGTGGTCATCCTCACTGATCTCATAATATATTGGACTGTAATGAATAGCCAACACTGATTGGTCCAATTTAAAATTGGCATTATACCGGCTGCATGACGATTGACGACAGCGAAATTGATTTGATGATTTCTTGCAAATATATTTCATTTTTGCAAGATTTTGTAAATTGCAAAGGATTTTTGATGAAATAAAGGCAAGAGGATTGCTAAAAGAAGGAAGTAAAGGTGCCGACGTTAACAAAGGTAAGTTTGTTTTAAATATTGATGCATTGTTTGCTTTTAATATACTGTAATCTCGGCTGTAATTACTTTAAAAGCCGATCGTTGCATA